GGTACAGACACGGACCTTGCCCCAGATATCTTGAAGCTCTGGCTGAGGTGCTGCAACCTCTGCGCCATGACTTCAGGAGATGGCTCTTTGCGCCAGGGTTGCGAGAAATAGGGACCCCATTGTAGAGCCGCTTTTTTTCACGGGGGCCAACATGAATGAAAGACCTCGCATCTTTTTATCTGAAGTTTTGAGGTCCAGAGCCCATTGGTTCTGGATGTGAGTACAGACTTCAAGTTGCGGAGGACTTTGGGGATGCTACACAGCAAGACGCAGGGTATGCTGGAGGCAGGCTTTGAGCGTTGGTTGGCTTGTTACATTCGTATTTCTCTGATCCCTGGCTTGTCCCTCGGCCGATCTCAGCGTTCATCGCCATGAGGTGGTGAAGCTTTGCTTGAACTCCGGGCAGGCTCGCCCTCCAGCGTATCCAGGTAGAGCTACTCGAAGGTTTGTATGGGAGACTGCCAGTCAGAAATATGTGCCGTGACGATTTCTCGCATGGTTCCATGGGTCTTTGGTATGACCGCCGCTCAGATTTGGAACCTAACTGACTTTCTCATTAGACCTTAGACCTTTGCCTCAGCGGGGAAGAGCAACCCGGGTACAGAGCTCCTTCTTTCCCTTGCACCTGAGCGCAGGCATCGTCACTGGTGGCGGCTGTCGTCGAGTGCCTTACCGGCCGAGCTCCAAATCGCAATGTGTTCAGCCGCGTGAGAGGGCGACATATTGCGATCATGAGTGCACATCCATCTTTGAGGCCTCACCTTCCTCAGCCCGCTGAGTGCTCCTGACTCAGCCACGTGACATGTGGCAATGCTTCGGACGAGGGATCTTCCGCTTCACCAACTTGTATTGGAAGGGACCCAGGGTGTTGGACAAATTTTTCGTTGGCCTTCCGCCACTGAGATCCGAGCTCCCTTGGTGGCGTACAAGATCTCTCTTGGCTGCGGTGAGCTAAGATGATGATGGAACCAACCCCGTGAGGCAACCCTGCACACGTGTTTCGAGCTGCAAGGGGTCTGTACGTTCGGATGTGCCTCAGGTCCGGAGTGGCTCCAGCCCAGCCTGATGGCGCCACTTGTGCGCACGGCTCGCCTTGGGAGCCATCCTTTTCCCGCCTTTTCCCCTTTCCCAGCAGCTTCCAGGTGTCGCGTTTTCGGACCGGGATGTGTGGGTGCTACGAGCTGCGCATGAGGCTGATTGCCAACTCCTTGGCCCATCCAGCTCGCATCAAGCAGTTCGACGAGGACGGCTTCTGCTGCTCGCGGCCGCTTCCGTTTGCTTGGACTTTCAGGAAGAGCCCGAGTGCATGCTGCGAGCCCGTTCTGCTGTGGCCTTAGAATCCTTCATCACATCTGGGCACTTCTCCCACTTTCCGCTTCCGCCGAGGACCATCTTTTCCCAATGCTGGCCACCTCGACTTTGGAGATCCGCCAGAAGGTCCTCGGGGCCAGCGGCTCAAGTGAAAGTGCCTCAAATTGGGTTCTTTGTCTCTGCGCTTATCCCTGCGGGTCGTTGAAAACGGTCACCCGAGCTGCTCGCTGTCAGGTCCTGGCCAATGCAGCGGCGCAGGACGAGCTGCTGGCTGCGTCCTAAGTGCACGGAGTCGCGCCCATCTGACGCCGCCTGGAACTGAGGAGTTCATCGTCAACTCCGGGGTCTTCCGCATTTGCAAGTGCTTCGCTCAGAGTGAGTGAGGCGCCATTCCGAAGAGGCAAGCAAGACATTGCCGAGGGCCATTCCGGGCAAGGGATGGTTCGTGGAGCACTTTGCGCTCATGATCGAGCTCACGAGGATGCTCACCAACCTGCCGGGCTCCCAGCGCGGCGAGTCCTGAGTGTCTCGCGTGCCGCGTGTCTCAGGACCTGTCGTCCTGAGACGCATGAAGCCGTGATGACACCAGACACAATGGTCCACGCCTCGGACTGGCCATGCGAATTGCGCCACGCAATTAACGCAACTGGCCATGCGAACCGGCCTTGGCAATCGCAACCGGATCACGCTGAGGCTTTCCTCCGAGATGTTCTGAGACATTGCGCAGTGCTGTTCCACACAGCTGCCCGGCCAGCAACCGCTTGTTGGGTGTTGGGGTGCGTGAGTTCGCCGGGTGGATCGCTTTGGTCGTGGTTTCGTCGATTGGTCTCAGCTCAGCGAACGAGGTAGAGCTGAACAAGGAGAATAAGGAGCTGGCAAGATGATTCAAAGCAAGCGTGCTGCATCAAGTCTTGCAGATTTGCAGGAGGAGGATAAGTTCGATTACTACGAGGCCAGGCAAGGCACGCGCCAAATGCGCCAGAGAAAGAGTTGCTTGATGACGATATCTTTTTACGGCGCTCTGTGCCGGCGACCCCTGATTCACTCTCACAACATCGAAAGCCCGCTGTTCCTACTCCACCCAATGGCATTTCCAAATATGAAGTATTTCGGTCCAGGAGGAAGCCAAAGAGAAATCACAGGGAACTAAAACAAAACCAAAGGGGGAACCAAAAGGAAACAAAAAGAAACAAAAGGGAACCAAAGGGACGCCACAACAAAACCAAAGATGCTTGTTCTTACGAGCTTAGAATTCCATGACCTAGATGTGGTTGATTTCCCCCCGAACGGGAACCCTGGCCCCACCTGCCAATACCCATCGCTTCAGCTTGGCAAACAAGAGCATCTTGACGCAAGACACATCAACACAAAGGGCCATGTCGGCCATGTGCACTTGTAGGAAAAAGCCGTGACTCCCGGGCGCATCGCGAAGTAGAGAACTGTGCCATTAGAAGGCTGCGCACACTTCAGAGAGCCTAGCCATTTGGGGACACCCATTGCGAGCTGCCAACAATTTGGCTTCCCTGTTGGTAGGCCAAACGCCGTTGGTATCATCGGTATCTCTGATGATGACGACAGCGACGATGATGATGATGATGATGATGATGATGATGAGGATGATGATGATGATGATGATGATGATGATGATGATGATGACGATGACGATGACGATGACGATGACGATGATGATGATGATGATGATGATGATGATGATGATGATGATGATGATGATGATGATGATGATGTCATGGTTGCCCATTTTGCCACATTTGGCAGCTTGCCCTTTGTACTCCCCCAAGGAAGAGTGTGTCTTCATATTACCGGATTCCATGCAAAGGTCATGTTTGAGCCTGACGACGCTCCACCTCTCGGCCTGAGGCTGGGTTTGGGTGTGGACTGTCGAGAGCAGCAAGTTGGGTGTTGAGCCAACACTTTCGTCTCCAGGATCCGCTGGGAGTTGCCTCCGCAGCTCACAGAGGCGAGTGGAGCGAATCCGAAGTTTTGGCCTGTTGGGAAGACAAGATTGAAGTGTCGGCTCCAAGTCAGATCTCCGCGTGGGAGGTGCTGCCGAACACGCCTGCGGCGCGGGTGGGCGACGAGCTGCGGCCGGGCGACGAGCTGGTGGAGGCGCGGAAGGGCACGAAAGGGCTCGGTGACTCGGCGGCTGTTGAGGACTCTCGAACTTTCAACACCAAAAAAGGAAGGCAATCGGCGAAGGCTCAAAAGGAGTACGGTGTTGCCCCTTTGGCAGGTGAACGGCATGGACGTCACAGAGCTGGAGCAAGGCTTTGGCCCTTTGTGCCTGTCTTGTGCTGGATGGAATGCTTGGCCTCAATGGTTCTTACTGTGCTCTCTTGGTCCGTTCACATGCAGGCGCTTCTGACAACTAGTAACCATGGATTGCAGCAGATCGACCCGGCATTTGTGGGTGTCCTCATCAGATGTTTACAGGTATGCAATCACACTCATGCAAATCTGTACTCGCCAAGCGTGCGTGTTTGGGCATGGAGATGCGTTGGGGGAGACGTAATATTGGGCGTGCCCCACTCGCGCGCGCGTGCGCGCATTGCACGCTGATGGCAAGGAGGTGCGGCACCTAACCTGCGCTCAAACACGTGGCCGTGCCGGCAGAGCACCACAGAATTGCACGGCCCCTCTCTGTTTATGTTTGGACGGAAGGCAATCACGGCAGGGGCAGCACCAGCGACAACAACAGCTCCGCTTTCCGCTTTTCAATGGGTGATTCTGGGACACCGAGGAAAGGATGTAGCGACACTTTATAAGGTTTGTTTCTTCCATTTACAGCCACGGCGCCGCTCACGTTGACGACGAGGCCAACAATGTGCGACCTGCAGAATGAGCTCCCAAGCCAAAGGCTTGCACACTGCCCCGAAAGCACTGGTAACAAGTGTGAGAGCAAATTTACATATTGAAAAGTGCAGGCACATGGCGCCTGATGTGTCACGACAAGCCACGGACAAATCACGGCAAATCATGCTTGGGGCCAAGCGATGACAAGCACACGCAAATGCGGTGGGGAGCGTGCAAATTTGTTATTGCGAATTGAGCTTTTGTTTGGCTTTCGTCTCTTGTCTTCTGGGCTTCTTGTCGGCTTCTTGGCTTCTATGCGTTTTCGAGTTTTTGTTTGCTTGTGGGCAAAAGAGCCACACACAAATGTGTTGACATGCCGTCAGTATTTTAGCGTAGTCCCGGATCGCAAATCGTAGCTCACACACCCAAACAGTCGACAACGCAAGCGGCTTCTTAGAGGAGCTGACACCAAAAGCATATTGTAGAAAATTGCGAACGCATCCCGCCTATTCTCGCTCGTGGCGTGGTGGCGTGCTTTTCCGCAGGCGACATTGCCCCAATGTTCGAAGCCCGACCCTTGAAGCTGCTTTTCCGACGGCGGCCGGTGCCACTCGAGGCCAGCTGCATAAAGGTAGTACGCCCACATGCGGCGCATGAAGTCGGCAGGACGCGCTGGACGATGGCAGCATGAGGGTTGTTGGCAACATCCGCATTGAGGAGGTCAAAAAGGCGCCATGGTTTCGGTTGGGCGGTTGGACGGTTGGACGGTTGGACGGTTGGACGGTTGGACGGTTGGACGGTTGGACGGTTGGACGGTTGGACGGTTGGACGGTTGGACGGGGTGCACTTGGGGTTTGGGTCCCAAGAGCTCCAGCTAGGTGTCGGCCTACGGGGATTCGCAGCAGTACCTGGAGTGCTTCAACCTGGCTGTGCTGGTGGTGCACAACTTGGCGGTGCAGGTGCCAAAGCCATGCACGCCGCACTCCAACTCGATGCGAGCAACTGCCAGGCCAGCAACCTGAGCCTCCTCCACAGCGAGCCGCGCATCCTCATGGTGCTGCTGGAGGTTCCCCGAGAGAGATGGCGAATCTATGCTTCGTTGACCCAACTTCAAAATCCGGCGCAAGACATAGAAGTGCTTGAACAAAAATCAGCGCTTGCCTGATGACGTGCTTTGTCCACTGCGTTGAAAGGACGACCCCGGCCAAAATGCGGTCTCGCAATAGAACACGCCAGGTGATGCCAGCGGACGCGACCTCGCCGTCCTTGCGGCGCCTGATCTTCTCGACCCTGACGTGCCTTTGTCAGGAGCCGGCAGTCTCAGGGCGCATCTTCCATGCCATGGCGGACTTCTTCCAGAACTGCCAGAAGACGGACTCCTCCCTCCACAAGTACATCATGTGCTGCTTGGCGAGAGAGTGAGCCATGTTTTTGTGATCGGGCATGGTGGGTCTGCTCCTTCTATGTCAGGGCCTTGCATTGAGAACAGGCAGGGAGGCGAACGAAGTGAGCCAAGATTTGAGGCTGCGCCAACCTCTACTACACCAGCATGTCCCGGGACGAGGTGAAGCCCGACCGGGGCATGCTGATGTTCGTGTCGCGGATCTCCGCGGAGGAGGACGCCATGGTGTCGCGGCGGGCGCTCATCGAGATCCTGCACGGCATGTCGCAGGCGCCCAGCGAGCAGCGCCGCAAGTTCCTGAGCCGCGAGATCCTGGTGCTGGCCAGCAGCTACATGGAGAACTTCCCGGATATCCAGATCCGTGCCTTCGAGTCCTTGCGCCCGGGCAAGCAGCCGGATTCTGATCATTCTCCGGGCCATCGAGTTTCTTTCGAATGTCTCTCAAACTTAGACTTAGACTGGACATATTTCCCAGTTTTTTTTGGAAGCGTCTTCCGAGGTACTTCTGCACGTTGGGCGCGTGCGCGCCGGAGCTGTGGTCGGACCTGGAGATCCTGCCGCGCATGGTGCGGGCCGCCGGGGCCGCGCAGAACGCCGCGGAGGCCGAGGCCGGCGAGGAGCTGCGGCGCCACGCGGACGCGCTCTGGGAGATCGCGCTGCGGACGCTGCACCACTGCCTCCAATACGAGGAGCAAAAGCTTGGGGGGGTGGGAGAGGAAAGACACGAAGGGGGGGGGGGAATTTGAGAACAAGAGAAAAGAACAGAAGCGAAAAAGAAGCAAGCAACGAGTCTCCTTTCTCCTCTGAGACGTGTTTGCCACGTTCTCCTTCCGCAATGCCTCGGCTCCGGACTTCCGGACTGCCGTATGCGAGACTTGCCAGGTCTTAGTGCAGCAGATGCGGATCCCTGACCTGGACCGATACCTCATGGAGCTGCTGGTGGACGGCCGGAAGCCCCCGGAGCTGTCGAAGGTGGCCGCTGATCTGATCGCCGGGCTGCTGCAGTCCTCCATCTCTGTGAACCTTTGGACCCGGTGGCGTGGCCTCGGCGTGGGCGAGCGCCTCGTGGGCTGGTTCAAGGCACGTCTCGTGCGCTCACATGGGCCCGTTGTTTTCTGTCCCCCAGTTCCCCCGAGTTCCCCCCCTTCTTCTTCCCCGGTGAGCGTCCGGGCGTTCGGTGCGAGTGTTCAAGTTGCTGATGCCCGACCCGCGCCGGGCGACAGGTGCATCGCAAGAAGTTGGAGCCCGAGGACCCCCAGCGGGCGGTCCAGCCCTCCGACAGCCTGGATGCCATGCTCCACATGGTGCTGTTCGCGGTGGAGGCGATGCTTTCTCATGGCAAAAAAAGACATCTTATGCTGCATACTTATGCTTGTATTTGGCGTCCTTTTGCAACAAAAACAGAGGACACTTTTAAGCTGGGGGTACTCGAGAGGAATCGGACCCCCTCGTCTTGTTGAAAAACAAGACAATCAAGACAAGAAATGTTTGTCGTCCTGACAAGGAGCTGCATCTCGCCTGTTGTCGAAAACTGTTTCGGGTTGAGGTGGACGTGTCCATGGTGGTGGCGCTGGTGGCGGAGGACGTGCTCGGCTGCATCGCGCAGCGGCTCCAGGAGCTCTCGGAGAGCTACGAGCGCTGGAACGCGCTGCAGGGGGGCCACCTGCTGACGGAGGACCTGGAGGCAGAGCGCGCCCACATGGCCCCGCACGAGCTGCTTCCAGGAGAATCGGCACAGGGGAAAAGAAGGAGAAAGAATGGGAAAAGAAGGGGACACATGCATACTCTGCGCACGATGATCACCAACGTCATGTATACATCTGCCTTCCTTCAGATTCACCCCCGGTGGGAGTGAATGAAATAGGGCGGCTATCCTTTGGAAGCCATGCCAATGCTGGTGTGAACAGCCTTCTTGGACGTGGGTAGGAGATGAAGGGTACGAACAGGCAACTGCACAGTTGTGAACATTTGACCCACCTGTGAAGCCCCGGTCGTTTGTAGGTATACTGCCAGCCTCTGTCTTGTCTACTGTCAGGACAGCGCCGCCCCTCTGCAGACGAGGTGGCGAAGGCCGATGCTTCCTTCAGGCCGGCAAGTGAGAAGTCAGGCATGACGGCCCCAGTTTCCAAGAGCTCACAACAGTTCTCACGAGTCGCGTGAATCCGCGAGTCCGAATTGAGGATCATCGCCCAGCTGCTCACAGCCCTGGTGGCCAATGAGCACGGTTTATCAGCGCCCGCCCCAGAGCGCCGAGCGAAGCCGCACGCGTCAGACGCCCATTCCCAAGCACAGTTCCGAAGCAAGTCTCGGCCAAAGCCAAGTCAGGACTCGGAACGGCTCGAAAGCTCGAAAGCTCGAAACGGCTGGAGGCCATGGCAGCGATGAATCTGGAGGCGCCTTTGGTGGCGCTGCTGGAGCTGCCCACGGCCACGCTGCGGGTGCCCGTGATGCTGGTGCTCTGCGCCATGAGCTCCAACAAGGCGCGGAGACAACTGAAGGAGGCAAAAGGAGAAAAAGGACAAAGAGGAACAGGAAAGGGTGACCTGAAAAGCCGACTTCGAGTGGCGGTCAAAGCGAGTTGCCAGGCGAGCTGCCAAGTGCTCATGAACAGCGACAAGCCCGGGGCTCATTCCGGGGTTGAGGGGCCTTTGGAACGTTCGGTTCCGGGTGCAAGCCGTAGCAAGACGATTTGAAGCCTTCGGACCCAAATTGATCCTTTTCTTATCTTTCGACGCGAGGTTCCTGCGAGTGCTGCGGCGAATGGAGAAGAAGCTGAGTACACTGGGCGAGGCTCCCCCCGTCAAGGACGGAATGGGGTCGTTGGGGCGTCCGGGCGCCTCGAGCTGCTCGATGAAAGGACGAGGTGGAGTACTTGGTTTGCATCTTGGACCGCAGCTGCTGCCACGCCGACCTCGCCAAGATTGCGCAGGCCGGGCTACCAGAGAGATCAGAGAGAGGTCAAGGAGCGGGAGCCGCGGGAGTTGGGCAGGAGCAGCTCTTCCGCCTGCTTTGCGTGCTGCCTTCCAGGCCCGATGCATGCCCCACCAGTGTGTGTGTGTGTGTGTGTGTGTGTGTCTCTGTGTGTGTGTTTGCTCTGGGCCAAGGCATGGGCCCAGAGCGTTCGCGCACATTCTAGGAGGGTTATCAGCATAAGTGGCAGTCCATGTTGCGAATGCTCGTCACTGCCCCAAGAGGTCTTTCTCAAATTCTGATCAAGTCCAAGATCATCCCTGACTGCCCTTCCAGCTAGGAGGAACCTCTCATTCAGTGGCTACAGACTTCCCCACACATACAATCATACAGTACACTCCTCAATCCCGGGGTAGAATTCATTGTGAAGCAGCATCCCTTCCATTTCATGATTTGTACGTGACGTCTTTTTAGCTGGTTGATTATGATGCGCATGGGTAACAATGACTTCGTACCTTGGTGAGCAAGCATACAAGTAGGTGCAGGTTGCAGCGAATATAGTAAATGTCGCGTTTTGTGGACCAACACCGCACAATTATATTCTGGGAAAGGACGTAGTTTCTTTGATACATGCATGCCATCCCAAAAAAAGACACCGGCAGAAAGGCAAGCTTCTCGCATTTGAATGTTGCCCAGCGCTCTTGGATGAATTGAAGTATTTCAAAGGCTCCATCCGGTCTGTTTTTGATCAGTCCAACCATCTTGAATTGGTGTTGCAGATAAGTTTCTCATATATTCTTACACTCTGTTGTGTATGTTCTACATGGGTTCATACTAAATACTGGATGCTTTCAAGGAGAGACGACACGACGCATGTAGAGCATTTGACTATAGAACTACACGCACACAGAAAAGGGAGAGCCGGTTTCGGCTAGTCATTCAAGCAGAAGGCCGGGCGAGTGGAGACTCCTTCCGGGTTCGGGGCTTTCGGCAGGGCGGAGACCTTGTCGGCGCGGCTCATGGCCCTGCGCGCGCTGAGCCGCTGCTCCTTCGTGGCACCCGAGTGCATGAGCCATGGCAAAGCAAACCGCGGGGTGGGGCAGGCCGCTGGCATATGGGAGGCCAAAAGGACAAATTGTGCGTTTCTATGGGACGGAGGTGGCGTTTCTATGTGGGATCAGCCAGAGTCGGCCTAGGAATGACTTCGGCGTCGAGGGGACTGCCTGCCTGCAGCGCCTGGATTGCATTGAGCCTGAGCCCATCCCGTCGCCCGTCGCCCGGATGTTCTCGAGGTACATCATGGCCGTGACGTCTTCCTTGAGCCTGGGGAGTTCCGAGACGGCCGAGAAGGCCTGGAGCCGAGACTTTCACGGAAGCAATAGCGTTCCAAGCGGCTTCCGACCCGCAGCCAGTTCTTGGCGCCAGCAAAGCAAACTGAAACCACACTCACCCTGCATTTCCATTCTTGTTGGTTGTCCTCGGCTCAACGAGCGTACACAGCAGACAGCAGAATGCTGGTTTTCCAGATGGTAGCTGGCCAAAAGCTGAACAAGGGCGTGGGTCGTGGTTTGCGTCGTATGCAGGCTGCGGTCCGCCGAAGGCTGATTCAGGAGGTCAAGGAGACGCAAAATTGGATGAGTTGAGAGCTGACCGATTCTCCCCACAAATGCGCCGTGGGTGTGCCTTAAAAATATGGCCCCCTAAATGGCTGGTGTCCTCTTGGTTCCCCGTAACACCCAGCCAAACAAGGGGTTCCGCTTCGCTCGCGCACGATATGCAGGAGTCTTTGGCGGCCAACGCGGCCCTGGCGCCGCTGGTGGAGCACTTCTCCAGGACAATCCTCTGTGAGGCTCGGGGTGTGAGGGTTTTCGGATTTGTCAATGCGCTCGATGCGGCAAGACTCGACTTTTCCCACGTCATTGACTCACGGATTTGATGCGACGTGCCAGGCGGTGTCCGTGTCCCGCAGTGTTTGCCATGGCGCCTATGAGCAGCTGGACCTTCTGGGCATGCTGCAAGACCTGCAGCGCCTTGGAGCATTCGAGTCAGGAAGGCAAGGCGCACGTGTTTGTCTGCAGGGACTCCTTCGAAGTCACGGTGGCAGACTTTGACCGGCTGGCCACAGCCTCGGTGGCACTGCGCAACGCTCCTGAGATGCCCAGAGTGAGTTGGCCATGGCTGAGGATGGTAGCAAGGTGGAAGTGGCTGCAGCAGAACTCATGAACAAGCTTGTTGCCTTGCTACATGTGCTGGCCTGAGCAGCGCCAAGCACATATCCACATCAGACATGCCAAGGCCAGCTTGCAAGGCTTTTGGCAGAGAGATCTCAAGTTTCATGCTGACATCGTTCAAGTTGTGGCCAGTGACTGCGCGCAGCCTCGCAATGCGAAGGTCCTGCTGTGCACCATGTTCCGGCATGGCCGAGCCTCGCACATGTACACGAAGGCCAGACAACTTGAACTCAGAAAATTTATCCAGAAAGCAGTGCCATCATTGCCTATGCAAAGGAAGCATGATATGTGCCGGAGCCGTCGCCCAGGATGCAGATGATGTAAAGGAGCGTGCCAATGGAGGCGCGAGAGTCCCATCCGGCTGACTGGCCTCACTTGCTGACTGGCTTTTGGAGTAGGCAGGCCTTTCCAGATTTTGCAACTCCCCTCAGGCTTCTCCGACGGCGATGTGAAGGCCGCAGTGGACGGCCTGATGCAGGTCCTTGACAAGGTGCAGGTCATGCTTCATCTAGGAAGTACTGACAAGGGCCATGGTGGCAACCTTCCAGAGTTGCTTGCCACCGACATCCGGGTCCTGTTCTACCTGACAGCTTTGCTCCGTGAGGCGTCCTGCAAGCCGTTGGATTCCCCATTCTTGCGGGTGACCCGATCCACTGCCTACTTCGAAGTGCTGCACTCCTGCATCAACCTGTCTCTAGCTCGCTTCCAGCGGGAGGCCAAGGGGCCCCCGCCCAGGGACCTGTGCGCGAACAAGCTGAAGGGCGGCCCCACAGATAGCCCCCTGTCTCAGTTCATGGACGACTTCGACCTGGGCCTCATCTTTGAACACCTCATCGTGTGCTTGAGGCACACCTTGGTGCAGGCCATGTACATCGCACCAGAGGTGAGCACCAAGCTCTTGCCCTGGGCTTGGGTGTCGCAAGAGCGGCTACCTATGCACAAGGACATCATGAACTGGCTGCCGCAGATTGTGAAGCGTTACAAGCACATCTCCGCCATCCGCACCGAGACGCTCCGCTACTTTGCCTGTGCCGCCTCCTACGAGTGTGCCCCCTTTGCACGCCCAGAGGACATCACGATTGAGGCCGTGGAGGACGACGACCGCTCCGTGACGGACTCGCCCATGGCGTCGCCGACGGCCCACGGCGACGCCGGCGACGCCGCGGACCCAGGCGCGGGAGCGGCCGAGGTGCCGACGGGCCCCGCGGGTCCCGCAGCCGCGGGTCCCGCAGCCGCGGGTCCCGCAGCCGGTCCCGAGCGGGAGGCCCTGCACGACAGCTCCACGGAGACTCCGGTGGACCCGGCCATCCGACTGCCCTTTGGCGGCTTGATCTCCCTGAGGCAGAAGGAGCTCAGAAACTTCTTGGCCGAGGAACTGGAGAGATCCGAGGACATGTACTCTCTGTGCCTGGCCATGCTGTGCGTTGCCAACTTTGCCGCCTACGAAAGGCGGGTGCTCGAGGGTCCGACCTCCAAGAAACTGGGCAAGCACCTCCCAGTGGAGGAGATGTCTCGGCTGCTGCGTGGAGTTGTGAAAGTGCTGAAGCAAATTCCGAGCTTCGACGACTGGGATGTGGCAAACACTATGACCTTGCATGCTCTTCGTTTCATTTGCACCCTGGTTGCAGAGTGCAGGACAAGTGTTCCTTCAATCAGAAGGTTCTGTTTTTGCTAATTCCTCCAACGAGTCCGCCCCTCGCGGCTGACGCGTGCGCGTTGAGGCAACTTGTTGGCCTTCGAGGTGGAGTTCATCACCGCGGAGCTGCAGCATCTCAACGCCTTGGAGGAGGCGAGGCTCTGGGCCGATTTGCAACAAATCGAACTCGGAAAATCCG